TACTCGGGTATTAAGGCATATTGTTTAAGGCTTTTGTTTAACTTGCTATGCACGTATGTATGTATGTTTGTTTGAGTCAAATGGGCCGTTTATTTTGAAAGTGGCATAAGTCACTTCGTACCTTTTGTGCTTAAATTACCGGCTACTTGTAAGCGAATGCATCTGTAAATCGGTCTATCGTCATAAACTAACGGCAAAGCCTTCCACCTTTGGTTGATGAAGTTGAGCGAATAACCGACGCGTTCAGATATATACAAGTAACCGGTCATTTAAGCGCAAGAGCTGTGAAGTGAGTTATGCCACTTTCCAAATAAACGGCTCAAATCTTGCAACAGTTTACAACCAACTAGAGACTTGAAACTTCAAACTTAACTCAGAAATCTATGAAACTGCAAAATGAGAGATGAGTTTATCCGACAGGTGGCGCAGAAGTCGAGATATTTGAAATCCCCATTTTTATAGTCCCATTTGGTTCAAAAATGGTTTGGCTGATGAAACCGGCAGTAAGAGAAATATAGTGAAATACATGAAAATAAAAATTTAACATAATTTCTTGGTAATTGAAAAACTGTACGTCTTTTTTTTCTACTTTCTGAACATAAATTTTTTGTTTTTTAAAACGACATTTAATTTTCCTGATGACAACTGACAGACAACTACGTTTTCAAAGTTGAGTTGAGTTGTGTCCCACAGTACCAATTTACAACTTACAACTCAACTATCTTCAAAGCTTTGAATCATCATAGGGGCTAAAAAAAAGATAGAACTGAAATGTTATGTTATGTTATGCAATGCTATCTTATCTTAAGTTAAGTTGTGTTATGTTATGTTATGTTGTGTTATGTTATGTTATGTTGCTCAACGCATTTCACCTCAACTAACCTCTTAGTTCACCTTAACTAACATCATTTCATTTCAACTCAATTAATCTCACCTTAACTCACCTTATCTCACCTCACACCGCACCTGAACTCGCTTCAATTCACTTTACTTTAACACAACTCAACTCCCCTTAACTCATTACAACTCGCCTTAATTTTAGTGGTAGAGTTTCAACCACTGGGCGAACACTAGTTTTTTTTTCAAAAAGTTAATTTTTCATTACAATTTTTATATTGCCTAAAAATTCATGGTTAGTTTTAAAGTAACCCACAATTTGTGTCTAGTTTCTAAATGAGCGAAAATTCATTTCCATTTTTTACTATGGCAGCAACTCTAAAAGTTTTTAAAGTATTCTACAGCGTGTAACGTTCCACTCATTTCATCGTGAGAGAACTCTTCTGTGCTGCTTTGGTTATAAACTGATTTTTTATTCTCAACACATGCAACTGTAATTTATGTGACAGTTTATGTATGCATGTATATACTTAAATGTATTTTGTATGCATAAATGTAAATGTAAACTTCTTCATAGCATATGAGGAATCAGTAAATGAACATTTCTTGCGGGAGAGAAGCGCTGTTAAAAAAATTGGGTATGTTATGGTTGTTACGCCGACCAGAGATTGAATCTGGGTGCTACCGAATGTTACATAGTACACACCACAAACCACTCGTTAACGGTGACCGCCATATTTGTCTTTAAATTTGGTTATATATCTACATACATATATATATTTATTTACTGACATAAAAAACAAAAGAAAAATCTTTTTTTCTAATATCGGTCGCCCTTCGGCTTGGCAACGGCAAGCCTCTTGAGTGAATTCTGCCATAAAAAACAGCTTCTCATAAAAATACTATTATATAAATATATATTTTGATTCGCTGTAAAATTGTTTAATGAAGGTCGTGCCAATTGTTAACTAAAACTGTGCGCATTTCCTAAACCGCTGGGTTTTTTTTTGCAATACTTTTCAGCAATCGTTTTACTAATTGCAGTTGCTAATCCATAGATTGGCACAATGAACTATGCCAATTAAAACGATATTCAAAAAGCGTGCAGGCTTTTAAACGGCTTTCGCTAAAGAGTATGTATTGATTTCTGCGCTTAACTCTAATGGCACTGCTTTTTAAGTAGTAACGCACTTTATTTTGAAATGCTGGTCAAGCTAAGTTGTATTTAATTCAAATTATTTATAAATTAAATTGCAACAATTTTTAGAGACAAAATAGCTGCAAGAACGAAAAAGCAGTAATTTTCTTATTTATTGTTTATTTAAAACGTCCACATAGTTAGTTAGTGCGGTGGAAAAAATTTATAGTTATCTTTGAACTTTGCTTTTTATGCTAAGCCATGCAAAACCTGAGTTTAAACTTTTCTACAAAAACAGTTGAGAGGGTTCAAGAGACAAATCAATGTTTTAAAAATTAATAGTTATTTTAACTACCTACATATGTACATACATTAAGATGGTCCAAAAATGCATGTGACAAAGTAAAGTCGGAATTTTAATGCTCTCACCGCCTAGGATTGTTCTATACCCAAATCAAAAAAAAAATATTTAGAGGTCGCTTAAAACGCACAAAGTTGTCCATGTATTTTATATGGAAAAAAACAAGTTTTCAAAGAAATCATATTCTTCAACATCAACATTTCTCTATCGAAAAATTTTGTTTCTCTTCAGAAGACTGCCAATTATCTATTTTACCTCTAAATTTTTTTGGATTTCAAAATAAAAAAACAGGGGTATACCTTTTCCAAATAGAACGATTCTAGGGGGTTAGAGCAATAAAATTCCGCCTTTACCTCTTTACCTTTTTTTTTGGACTACCCTTATGAACATAAATATTCATATAGGCAGTGAATAGTGGAGTAAAGTTCATTCAGCGCTTTATGATGGCATGCTAGTTATGTAGCAAGATTTTTGTTTTTGGTGGCTCGTGCGCACATGCAAAGTATTCATTGAAGCATGCTAACTGAAAATTGTTTTTGTACAATATATGCAACAATATTTATTGTAATATTTTTCCCAAAATTTTTTATAAAAATATGGTTAATTCATTTCATGCATTTTTTTATACTAGAATTTAATGGGCTACAAAACTCCATACTCAAGGAAATTCGAAAAAATCTGATTAAAAAGTGGAAAATTTATTGAATTGAGTTTTGCACAAAGTTTAGAAATTATATTTTTGTGTTGTTTTGTGGAGAATGAACCGTAGTTTTATAAATAATTAGCGGAAATATATAAATATTTTGGGCTCGAAAAAAACTATCACAACTACAGTTTTTAATCGACATATATGCAATATTTTATGTCGCGCTTTTTGGATGTAGAACTTCGGCATCCGATTTGTTTGTTCTATTTTTGTGTCTTTTCTTCAGCTTAGCTAAGTGTAAATGCATTTGCTTTTATTGTAGCTTTTTAGCAGATCCATTTATGTACGGTACTAAGCTTAAAGCTTAAAAAAAGATTCTCATATGTACACCAATCCCAGCCATAAGTCAATCGTAAATGTGCAGTGTAATAAAACTTTCGCAAATAAATATTTATAGCAATGCATATAAATCGGTTTGCATGTCTGATTGCTAATTAAATTAAAAATAATTTATTATGCAGTCAAAGCACACTAATTCAGACATTAAATGCGGCAGGCTGTTGCAATTGACAGATGTCTGGGAAAAAATGTGGGCATGGAAAAATAATTAGATTGAAAAACCTATTTAAATGAGAGACGACAAATATTTAAATGTAATTATATGCAAATATAAAAGTACTTTGAAACATTGTTATATTTGCATTCATATGTAGGTATATGTATGCATAAATTAAATTATTTGCATTAACTGGTATTTAATATTTAAGTATTTATTTTTATGACTTTGTCTGCTTCTTGCTCAAAATGCATATTTTACTTTAAATTTACCTTTTGTGACAGTCTTAGTACATTTTTATCACTAATTCGGAATTACATTATTTTGTGCAATTTTGTTAAATACGTAAACTTTGAAAGTCCTGAACTAGGTAATATTTTCAATCGAAATTTTGATGATGCAGCAAAAATTGCAATAATTCACAGGTTATCCTTTTTAAGCTCGAACTCGGCGCCAAAAAAAAAAAAACTAACATAAATATTAACAAATTTTTATTATACAAATGAATACTCACAACAAAACGTACATAAATCGGCTGTTGAAATAAAAGACTTAAGCTACGAACTTGCTTAACTTAATGTGCCGACTGAATTAGCACATACTCGGTTACTGCTGTCTTTTGAAGACTAATCTACAACAAAAACATCATATGGCACAACAGACATTATTTGATTGATTTGCCGCAGCAACATTGGTCCCCAATATTGGCGTGTTTCGGGCAGGAAAACTTGAAATATTTGACGCCAATATTGATTCACAATATTCAACGCCAGTTCATCTGCGAAAATGTTAATTTCATATTAACAAATAATTTAAATACTCTTCACTACATACTCAATGTTGGATCAGGAAATAGGCCACTTGCTGACAGCTTAAAATCCTTTACTTTAGGTTCAGCGTCAAATTTCGTCATGCGCACAAAACGATGACCGTCAGCCTCATAGAAGCCACCCTCGTACAATTGGTCAATATCCACGTCAACTGTGTGAAGAATTTTCAATTGGCGCTAAATAAAGTTATTTTTTTACTTTTCCGCTATACAAACTCACCCAATGACACATTGAATTCGNAAATAAAGTTATTTTTTTTTTTTTTTACTTTTCCGCTATACAAACTCACCCAATGACACATTGAATTCGCCCCTTGGTCGCAGCTGTACATTATTCAGCAAAAGCTCGGCCTTATAATTGCCCACAACTCTTATCTCTGGCACATGGGATAGTAGTTTNGCCCCTTGGTCGCAGCTGTACATTATTCAGCAAAAGCTCGGCCTTATAATTGCCCACAACTCTTATCTCTGGCACATGGGATAGTAGTTTCATCTTAATTTTACCATCAATCACTTTCAAGTCAAGCGTTTTGATTTCCGTTTTAGAGAAGCCATATGTGAGTCCATTTAGCATGGCAATACGTCCACGTACATTGCCATTTGTGTATTGAAAAGTGGTGCGATTGAGGCGGAAAGGATCGATTACGGGAATATTCAGCGCCTTGTTGCCATTTTTAACGCGGCGTATGGATTCCTCTAAGAGATTTTTCACGCAATTGTTGAATTCTGGACTGCTTTGTTTGCAAACTGGTAGGTCGTCGACTGAAAGAGTGCAAAAAATGATTAGTGTGAGATTGAAGATTGGAGAAAAGAGGAAGATAAAATTTGCTTTCACAAATTAACCTTGACCCTCTGCTGAAGAGATTAATAGTAGTTTAACACATTTAGAGATTATCCTCATTTTCGAGCTTAATTCCCTATTCTCCAATCAACAATAAAGATTAGCCATAGAAAATTTTGCGCACGTTAATCTGTAATTATGAAATAATCTTAGTTCGAATCGATAACTTTTCGGTGTCCAACCAAGTTTTATCGATTATTTTTACTAAGAAAAATAGAAATGTCAAATGTGAAGGCAAACACAAATAGACGCTTGCAGGGAAAAAAGGGTTGTAAG